TGGACAGATGCACTTTTATGATGGACAGATGCACTTTTATGATGGACAGATGCACTTTTATGATGGACAGATGCACTTTTATCATGGACAGATGCACTTTCATCATGGACAGATGCACTTTTATCATGGATAGATGCACTTTTATCTTGGACAGATGCACTTTTATCATGGACAGATGCACTTTTATCATGGACAGATGCACTTTTATCATGGACAGATGCACTTTTATCATGGACAGATGCACTTTTATCATGGACAGATGCACTTTTATGATGGACAGATGCACTTTTATGATGGACAGATGCACTTTTATGATGGACAGATGCACTTTTATGATGGACAGATGCACTTTTATCTTGGACAGATGCACTTTTATCATGGACAGATGCACTTTTATCATGGACAGATGCACTTTTATCATGGACAGATGCACTTTTATGATGGACAGATGCACTTTTATGATGGACAGATGCACTTTTATGATGGACAGATGCACTTTTATGATGGACAGATGCACTTTTATCTTGGACAGATTCACTTTTATCATGGACAGATGCACTTTTATCATGGACAGATGCACTTTCATCATGGACAGATGCACTTTTATCATGGATAGATGCACTTTTATGATGGATAGATGCACTTTTATGATGGATAGATGCACTTTCATCATGGACAGATGCACTTTCATCATGGACAGATGCACTTTTATGATGGACAGATGCACTTTTATGATGGATATATGCACTTTTATGATGGACAGATGCACTTTTATGATGGACAGATGCACTTTTATCATGGATAGATGCACTTTAATCAGGGATAGATGCACTTTTATGATGGACAGATGCACTTTTATGATGGATAGATGCACTTTTATGATGGATAGATGCACTTTTATGTTGGACAGATGCAGAGCCGGACAGTAACGGAGTACATTTACTTGAGTACAGTACTTAAGTACAATTTTGAGGGATCTGTACTTTACTCGAGTATCATTTTTGGGGAGTACTCATGACTTTACTCAAGTACATTTGAGAGGCAAATATTGTACTCTTTACTCATACATTACATTTCTATCCATAACCGTGAGTACCCGAGTAAAAAAAAAAAAAGTTACAAAAAGAAAAATCTCGGAAACCCTCATTTCCAGTGATTGGATTGTGCAGGCGCCACTGATTGGGACAGCCTATCAGCAATCACTTTCAGCTTTCCGCCAAAGTCAACTCCATGGTCAGATTTTATATTACACATTAATGTAAGCCAAGCATTTGGTTTGATGTTCTTGAGTATGTGGTGTGTTTAACACAGTCAGGTTCAATTGTGGCAGTGGCGTAGCCACGAGGGATTTCTGATTTCTTAACCCTTTGATGCACAACATGGGTCTAAATAGACCCGACTGAGTTTTAATTTTTTATATCTTTGCAAGAAATTAATTTAATCATTCAGTATTCCAGGTATTCCTCAATTAACTCGTTTTAGATCATTACAAATCCTTATTTAAATTTTTCCTTTCTTACTTTTCGAATAAAAATCGTTTTTGTTTCACTACCCTTCTAATGCGCAACATGGGTCTAAAAAGACCCGTATTCATGTTTCTTTGCTGAATATTTGAAAGAAATGTATTTTATCATTTATTAATCCAGGTATTCATTAAATATCTTGTTTTTGATTTCCACAAATCATTATTTTTATTTTTCCTTTCTTACTTTATAAACAAACACGTTTTTTGTATTTCTACATCAATTTTACACACATGGGGCAAAAATGACCCATATAGGAACCTTTGATATTTATAAATAGTATAAATATATTTACTGCAGAAAACTATTCACCTGCCACACATTTCACAATTCAACACGGCTGTTTTTGTATATTTCATGCATGTAAGTTTTATTTAATACATTTTTTGTCACAGAAAATATTTGATATTTTGTGAAAGACATCTAGATATAGCCTAATATTTGAACGTTTAGGCTAAGGTTACCTTGACCTTGAAATCCATTACTAGTGCAAAAGAGAAACATGTCCAACACTATTAGCTAGCTTGCGGTCGACATATTTTATTTTATCTAATAGCTAGGTCAACAAAATAAAAGTTGCAATAGAAAGTTATACAAGTATATATTGGCGCTGTTGGGGAGAAACCTTACCTGGGCAGTACCTCCATATTAATTTTTATAAATGGTCATAAATCAATGCTATCGGTCACATAAGCCGTCGTGTGGTGCACTATGGCTGCTGTCGCATCATCCGGGTGGATGCTGCACATTGGTGGTGTGGAGATCCCCCTACAGTTGCACTACACTACAGTTCAATTTCAGTGTTATCGGTTATATGCGTGTTATACATGACAAAGTGGCCAATAAACATATTTCAAGTGTTACAGTAAATGTGTTGATCTAAACAACTGTGACAATGGTTATTTTAACAAAAAGTTTTCTTTATTCTTTTGTTTTATCACGCTTGCATAGATGGGTCATTTTAGACCCATGTGTGTAAACTTGATGTATTTACACAAAACCTAGGAAATATTAAAATATGAATTTGTGATAATTGAAAACAAGATATTTTGAATATTCATAAATCATGAAATTTATAGATCAAGAAATATAAAATGGTCAAATAAAGTGATTTCAAAAGGTGAAACAAAAAAAATGCAGAGCCATGCATGAAATAACATAGGAAATGAATACGGGTCTTTTTAGACCCATGTTGTGCATTAGAGGGGGTATCCATAGCTTGCGCATCAAAGGGTTAAAAAAAAAACTTTAGGAGGCAAAATATATTTTGACTGATTATGTGAATTACACTGCGCAAACCAAAGTAGGGTACTACCCAGCGAATGAAGAAGGGTTGGCGCTCAGTCTCCACAGTAAATAAAATATTAATTTTTTTATTTTTTTTATTTTTCGGGTTTGCATTTATGAGGAAAAAACAATGTTATGGACGTGTTCTCCGTTACGGACGTGAGCGCTCTGAAAGTGGCATAAAAAATGCTTTAAAACTTTCACAGAGATATCAAACAGAAAACACAAAACCTTTCTTTAACCTGAATTTCGTTTTGCATTAATTGTATCTTAATTTTATTCAATGTTTCATCAACCAATTGCCTGGGTTTAATAAATAAGAAGTAAATAGCAGACGATAGATAAGAAACGGAGGCGCCGGCCTGTGAACTGGATCTCGTCTCATAAATGAACCGAAACTCAGTGTATAAGGTAGCCTACTTGCCTCTCACAGACATGTCTACTTTTAAACAGAAAAAATCAAAACGAAAGAAGACAGACTACAGACTGCTCTCTGCTTATGTAATCCGCATGAAATGTGCATTTCTCTCTGGCGCGTTCACTGCTGAAGATCGCGAGTCAGCATCGTCAACTTCATCTAGCCGACACTAACAAAGAAAACACTTGTTTATTAACAAGTGTTTATTAATAAACAATTAAAATATCTCCTTGCTATATTTTACATATTCATAATCATTCCTTTTGCCGGTTCTTTGTGACAGATTTTAGGTGCTTTATTGGCAGCGCCACCCTTACATGTGGTGTGTGTGTGTGTTGTCCCCGCATTTAAAGATGGGACCCCCCAAAAATTTTATTAAATTAAATAAAGCAACATGGTAAAAAGATAAAAATGACTTGATTTTACTTTCAATTCCTTTTACATTCTCCAAGGTATTAACATTAACATTTTTCATAACTCCATGTAGGACGTTTGTGTGCATAAATGTAAGCACTGTGGCAGTAGATTACTAATGCAATATTTAGAAAATCTACTCTTGTACTCTTGATACTCAAGTACTTTTAAAAACAAGTACTTTAGTACTTTACTTAAGTAGACATCTGAATGTAGTACTTTTACTTGTACTTGAGTAAAATTTAACATGGAGTATCTGTACTTTTACTCAAGTAACACTATAGATCACAAAATACTCTTGGATCGACTACAAAACTACACTGGTGTTCAGGGACAGGCATTAAGCTGGTTCAGATCGTACTTATCGGACCGTTACCATTTTGTCTGTTTAAATGGGGAAAAATCGAAGATAACGTCAGTAGACTATGGAGTGCCGCAAGGATCGGTGTTAGGCCCTCTGCTATTCTCAATATATATGCTGCCACTTGGTAATATTATAAGAAAACATGGAATTAATTTCCACTGCTATGCTGATGACACTCAATTATATATTTCATCACGACCAGATGAAAACACTAACTTATCTAAATTGACAGAATGTCTTAAAGATATAAAATGCTGGATGACGTGTAATTTCCTGCTATTAAATCCAGATAAAACGGAGGTATTACTTATTGGTCCAAAAAACTCACTTTCATTGTCTTTCGAAAATCATATTTCATATGTTACAAGAACTGCCTTTTTCCACCTTAGAAACATTGCTAAATTACGTAACATGCTATCTGTTTCTGATGCAGAAAAGTTAGTTCATGCACTCATGACCTCGAGACTAGATTACTGTAATGCTTTATTAGCTGGTTGTCCTGCATCCTCAATAAACAAGCTACAGTTAGTGCAAAATGCAGCCGCTAGAGTTCTTACTAGGTCAAGAAAATATGATCATATAACACCGATTTTATCATCTCTGCACTGGTTACCTATTAAGTTCCGTATCAATTACAAAATACTACTACTGACCTATAAAGCCCTAAATGGTTTAGCTCCTGTGTATTTAATGGACCTTCTATCACCCTACAATCCATCGCGTTCTTTAAGATCCCTAATTTCGAGGCTTCTGGTCATTCCTAGGATATCTAAGTCCACTAAAGGAGGGAGGGCGTTCTCACATTAGCTCCTAAACTCTGGAATAGCCTTCCTGATACTGTTCGTGGCTCAGACTCGCTCTCCCAGTTCAAAACTAGATTAAAGACGCATCTCTTCAGCCAAGCATTCACATAATGCTTACCTTTTATACCACTGTTGAATCAGATCGAATGCATTAATATTATGAACAGCAGCTACGCTAATTATTTCCCATCTGCTTTTCTGCTGTTATCTCGGGACGCTAGTCGAGGTAAATAGCGTTCGTCAGCTCCAGTTTGTATCCAGCCTCTCACGGAGACTTCAGACGCTCCAACACCTGCGATGAGACGACTCGACGCCTGTGAAGAGACGACTCAACGCCGGCGAAATGTTATGCCCTAAATTAATACATGATGATTAACTAACTATATTCTTCTATGTACATTTCTGAAATGCACTTTCTGTAAAGCTGCTTTGAAACAATATGTATTGTGAAAAGCGCTATACAAATAAATTTGAATTGAATTGAATTAACAAAGCTCTGTACTCTGTCCGCCTCTGGACAGATGCACTTTTATCATGGACAGATGCACTTTTATCATGGATAGATGCACTTTTATCATGGATAGATGCTTTTATCATGGATAGATGCTTTTATCATGGATAGATGCACTTTTATCATGGATAGATGCACTTTTATCATGGATAGATGCTTTTATCATGGATAGATGCTTTTATCATGGATAGATGCACTTTTATCATGGACAGATGCACTTTTATCATGGACAGATGCACTTTTATCATGGACAGATGCACTTTAATCATGGACAGATGCACTTTTATCATGGACAGATGCACTTTTATCATGGACAGATGCACTTTTATCAGGAATAGATGCACTTTCATCATGGACAGATGCACTTTTATCAGGAATAGATGCACTTTCATCATGGACAGATGCACTTTCATCATGGATAGATGCACTTTTATGATGGATAGATGCACTTTTATGATAGACGGAAGCACTTTTATGATGGACAGATGCACTTTTATCATGGACAGATGCACTTTTATCATGGATAGATGCACTTTTATCATGGATAGATGCACTTTCATCATGGACAGATGCACTTTTATCATGGACAGATGCACTTTAATCAGGGATAGATGCACTTTAATCATGGACAGATGCACTTTTATCATGGACAGATGCACTTTTATCAGGAATAGATGCACTTTCATCATGGACAGATGCACTTTCATCATGGATAGATGCACTTTTATGATGGATAGATGCACTTTTATGATAGACGGAAGCACTTTTATGATGGACAGATGCACTTTTATCATGGACAGATGCACTTTTATCATGGATAGATGCACTTTTATCATGGATAGATGCACTTTTATCATGGATAGATGCACTTTCATCAGGAATAGATGCACTTTCATCATGGATAGATGCACTTTTATGATGGATAGATGCACTTTTATGTACTTCAAAAAATATACAGCCATTCACTGCCATTTTAAAGACTGGAAGAGCCAGAATTTTTTTTTAAATAAAACTCAGATTGAATTCGTCTGGAAGAAGAATGTCATATACACCTAGGATGACTTGAGGGAGAGTAAATCAAGGTCTAATTTTTACTTTTGGGTGAACTATCCCTTTAAAGGGATCCTTCACCCGAAACTTCAAGTTCATTTATCATTTACTGTCCCTCATATCTTTGCGTCATATTGAGTATTAGGCATGCTGTACCTGTTGCGGAGCTGTGCTGATTCTCTGCTGAATGAGCCTCTGCTTCTGCTCGATCTGAAGCTGCAGTTCCTGCTTTATCTTGTTGATGTGCGAGGACTTTTCTGCACAGTTAAAAATGTAAAATCAAATTAAAATGCTATATGGTCTAATCAAGGCTTATTATAGTTAACTAAAACCATAAAAGACACGTGTTCCTTGAAATTAAATAAACATTCATTAACTGAAATTAAATGTATATATAATTATATAAAAAAATCTTTCAGCTAATTGCTAAAGCAACATTTATCATTGTCATTTATTTCTTTTTAATATAAAACCATATAGACAAATTTAAAACACACACACACGCACTAGTGTGAACTAGCATGCGTGCGTGCTCTGTGTGTGTTTTTGTGAGGGATATACTCGATAATGTCAGATTGCATATCATTAAAAAAACAATTACGATATACAGTATATTGCACACCCCTAATTGTTATATATTGTATTGACAACTCAATTAAATACTTACCATCGTATATTCTTTAATATTGGACGTTTTTAAATAAACACTGGGCTCTTTTAGGGCCGGACGATATGATGATATATATAACATTGATATAAGTGATCACATGGATTTAGACCTATATTGTATTTATATAAAGCGTTCAAAGGCAAATTTGCTTTATGTTTTTCCCCGGCGTGGAAATTAGGCTCATAAATGTCAGGAAACACGATTCCTGCCGCATGTCGATATCCACAATCACTGGATCTCTGGTAAGTTGTAAGAAACACTATATCGAGTCCAACCTCTGGTTTAAACTGATGATCGTTCGTTTTACTCGCATTTTCACAGTTTCTCCAGTCATTTATCAGCTCTTCTGACACTCAGTCCAGCTGAGGGAGTGTGTTCCCACGGGAAAGTGACATACAGTGGTGTGAAAAAGTGTTTGCCCCCTTTGTAAATATGATCAGAGATGGCTGTAAAAAATAAATCTGCATTGTTAATCCTTTTGATATTTTATTTAAAAAATTTGAAAAAATCTAACCTTTCATTGAAGTAAAATAATTGAAAGTTGGGGGGAAATCACATTATGAAATAAATGTTTTTCTCCAAAACACGTTGGGAACAATTATTTGCCCCCTTTTATTAAATACTTTTTGCAACCTCCTTTTTCCAAGATACCAGCTCTGAGTCTTCTCCTATAATGCCTGATGAGTTTGGAGAACTCAACTCAGATGAAACAAAAAAATTAGCTTTTTTGGCAGCAAACACTTAAGATGGGTTAGGTTCATACAGGTATAAAAAGTACCCCATGTGTAGAATGAAATACTCTGCTGTATCTTTAATGTTGTGGGCCTAATTTTCTGCCAGAGGTCCTGGACATCTTGTTCAGATATATGGCATCATGGATTCGTTCAAATACCAACAGATAAAAAATCAAAACCTGACAGCCTCTGCTAGAAATCTTATAATGGGCCGTGGTTGGATCTTCCAACAGGACAGTGATCCAAAAACAAGCATCAAAATCAAAACAAAAATGTGTCACTGAGCACAAAACCAAGCATCTGCAATGGCCATCCCAGTCCCTGACCTGAACCCATAGAAAATGAGTGGGCTGAACTGAAGAGAAGAAGCATCAACATGGATCTGGGAATCTGAAGGATCTGGAGAGATTCTGTATGCAGGAATGGTCTCTGATCTCTTGTCAGGTGTTCTCCAAACTCATCAGGCATTATAGGAGAAGACTCAGAGCTGGTATCTTGGAAAAAGGAGGTTGCAAAAAGTATTTAATAAAAGGGGGCAAATAATTGTTCCCAACGTGTTTTGGAGAAAAACATTTATTTCATAATGTGATTTCCCCCCAACTTTCAATTCTTTTACTTCAATGAAAGGTTAGATTTTTTCAAATTTTTTAAATAAAATATCAAAAGGATTAACAATGCAGATTTATTTTTTACAGCCATCTCTGATCATATTTACAAAGGGGGCAAACACTTTTTCACACCACTGTAAATGCATATCCTCTTTTCGACTTCAGATGCAGCGAATGGGTTTAGTTAAAAAATGTCTGATTCCACACTTGATTAACCCTTTCACATGTAAGTTTAAAATATTCTAACTGACCCCCCAGCGTGAGTTTTTCAAGGCGACCGTTATTTAGAACTTGTCACTTTAATGTTTCCATGGTGACGCGTCATTGCTTGTCACCTGACACAGCGCAATCACAATACAGCGCTGAATGAATGATGATCTGCTTTTATGTCATTTTTCCTTTTTTATTAAAAATATTCACAAATGTATTAGCAATAGCACGAAACACTGATATTCCGATTGTCAAATATGTGCAAGTGGATGGGTTTTGTTGTTTAAACATCTTTATAACGATCGCGTTAGTTAAGCTGTATGCACAATGGGTGGCGCCATTTTAGTTTGTTTTACAGTTCAGAGAATCGGATTTACAATGCGTCAATTCCTCCACTTCTCACGGAATACATGAAAGTAAGTGGCCGGTGAACTAGGAGAAGAATAGGGTCAAATGTAAAGCTACTTACACAATGTGTATCTGATATGAATAAAACGTGTCGTCTTATTATAATGGAAAGGATTATTATTGCCGCTTCCATAGACATCAGTATGTATTTTACAAACTCAAAATCATTGTTGTGCTAGTACTTATTTGTATTTAAATGTCTGAAACCTAAAATAAACATTATGTGGTTGAAAACACTGAATAGTTGTGATATATGACAGCACTGAGTGCGTCCGTCTCTGGCTCAGCGCCAGCCAACGCGCGAGAGCACGTTTGAATTTAGCAGTTGATCACGTGATGCACCGACCGTTCTAATCACACCGGTGTTATCGTACGCTCCAGGGACCAGCCAAGACTGATCACACCGGTGTTATCGTACGCTCCAGGGACCCGCCAAGACTGATCACACCGGTGTGATCGTACGCTCCAGGGACCAGCCAAGACTGATCACACCGGTGTGATCGTACGCTCCAGGGACCAGCCAAGACTGATCACACCGGTGTGATCGTACGCGTGAAAGGGTTAAAGGCTGCCTCAAACACACCTAACATCAGACATGCTGTATAACACACGTACCACTCAAAGCCCTGTAGTAGCGCTGCGCACGAAGCTCTTCCAAGCTGAACTCCTCGTCTCCCTGATACACCTGATCTTTGCAGTACATGATCTGCACGTGATCCTCCTGCTGGGAAACCAGTTCTTCTGGAGTCTGAATCCTCTGGGACGGGAGCGCAGTCTCCACCGGAGCGCTGTAACGTAAAGTCGCATGATTACACGAGTTCAAATAAAACAGTCACAGACCAATATATGGGATGAACTACCGGTACTAGTTACAGTCCAACTAAAAATAAAATGTTCTAAGAACATTTAGCTAACATTCCCATTAAGTTATAAAAACGTTTTTTTTTAGGGATTTTCTTTTTAACGTTATTTTCTTGGTTATGCAAACGTTAAAGTCCCCCTGTGGTGAAAATCCAGCTTTTAAATGTTGTTTATGTGTCTATGTGGTGTGTGTTTAATATGCTTTAAGACACACCGTGTGTAAGTTCATAAGTCGACAGCATTGCTGAGTATTTTCTACTTAAAACTGCAGTGAACCAAAGACAGTCTCAAAAACACGGTTTGAAATCGCTGGTGTTTCTGACGTCACAAACGACCTTGTAACCAATCAGATCAACGTGTGATCGTCAACCAGTGGATCTCTGAGCTGAGTGAGTGAGTGGAGGCGGGGCTCATTTGCATATTCATAGAACCGTGCATACTAAATGAGGCAAGGGTGTCGAGTTACATTCAAGATATTTTAAGGCATGAAGAATTTCTTTCAAGGAAAAACCGTTTAAATATGTAATTTTGGCGATCAAAGATGAGTTTAAAGTAATAGAATTGTTAAATACAGGGGGACTTTAAAGGAACATTCCATTTAACATTTTGCAAAGTGCTACATTTGAATTAGAGGTCGACCGATCGATTGGTTTTGCCGATTAATCGGCACCGATAACTGGAAGAAGCAAAATAAAAATAATAAAATAATTTGTTTTGACACGCTGCACAAAGCGTGACACTTCAGATGTGGATTTAAAACGGAGAATGAAACGGTATAATATACAGTACACTACCGTATGTGTTTTTATCATTATAAAGTTATTAATTTGTTGACTAGATGCTGCACTAGCAGAGAAAGAACAGCAGTATGTCTGCCGTCGAGGCTGAGAGGACGCTAACAATCAATACCTCAAAAACAAAACACACGCAAGTCCGACCCAAATGTTTATGTCACGATTGTTAGTAGTAGTATTATCTATTTTCATTAGTTTATATTCAGCTGGTCACTTTAATGCATTTGTTATGCAGCGAAGTGGCATATATAACGCTAGTGACATGAGAAAGCAATGTGTAGTGAGATGCTGCCGACTGAAACCCAGAAACAAATCATGCATTCGATTTCAGTTCTTTTTTTTTTTATCGTCACTAACATATTTTGATTAGATAATCATCAAGTGTTCTAAAATAAAAGCAAATAAAGTGTGAGAGTATACATGATACAAAATATATATGTGTATAATTTCAATTCTCTATTTTTAAAGGTGGCGATTTTTTTACATTTTACTATAAGAGTCCACTTGTAACATTAACTTTGGTTAATAAACGTAGTGTTAATTTGTTGATTTCAATATTCACTAGTACATTTTAACATTTTAAAGTCCTGTCTTAGTTAATGCACTACGATCAAACATTAATGATCAATCTATAAACATTGTTTAAACAATAATATTTTTTATATTTAAAAAGTTAGTTTTCATTCAGTATCCATTTTAACTGTCGGTCATTGATCGGTTATCGGCGTGGGCCAATCTAGTTATTGCTATCTTATCGGTAAAATCTACTATCGTCGACCTCTATTTTAAAAGTTATTTGAACATTCTGAAACAAGTAGTAATATTTTTTTATTTTTAAATAGAAGAAAGTTTAACAAAAACATTAACAATGTATAAATAAGCCCTTTTTATTTATATGCAAAAAAAAACACACAAAAAAAAAAAAAACAATGCTGTTGTATATTAAAATGTTATTTGTTAATAGGGGAATATAAATTAGGAGAAATGAACAGAATTATTGAGATATAATATAAAAAACACATGATTAAAATATATTAATATAAACTTATTCTTACGTTTGGTTACGGCAGGTTAAGTTAGATTACAACGTTACAAATGTAGACTACACTACAATGAGCCGTGTGTGTGTGTGTGTGTGTGTGTGTGTGTGTGTGTGTGTGTGTGTGTGTGTGTGTGTGTGTGTATGACAACGACCCAAAACAAAACAACACACATTAAAACCCACTCACAATAAAAACTACAAATGGATTAGCTAGCACATTGCTTACCTCCAAATGTGAGGCGAAAGTTCATCCATCTTCACGCGTTTTGATTGTTCAAACCCTAAAGCCATCTATCCTGTGCGATGTTTCCTGTGATTTAATAATTTAAAGGTTATTTGTAATCAAAATACTAAAATTATTATGCATATAACACGAGTAGCATGGGTTACTAATCATGACAGCTGGCCTCTACAGCGACAGCTAACTTAACGTTACTAGTAATCATTTTCAAATCAACAAAACATTATATTTGCGAGCCGTATACATTTAGAAGTTGTAAAAATCATGACTGTACCTCCGAAAATCATCAACTATTCCTGTTTCAGCGAAGTTTGCTAGCATAAAATACTGACAGCAGTGGTGTTTTCTGTTGTGCATTCGAGGTTCAATTTCAAATGTTACCACGTGACTGTGACGTACGAACTGACGTTCCTCGGCTCGACGTCACATAATACGTACTTGGGAATTTACCATTTATTTTCTCGCGGTATATATCCGTATATTTGATTTTATAAACTATTTATAAACAATATGTCATTTTTTTATAAAAACGTAAAGGCAAAAGGCAACTCCTTTATCTTTTCTTGTTTTCTACGCAAGCCTGTGCATACATACTGCCCTCTTCTGTTTTGCAGGGAAATCAGGAGTTAAATCCATCTACCGTACTTGGTTAAACACTGATTATGTTAATATAACGTTTTTAACGAATTCAAACGTAATTTAATTTAGTGATAACAGTATGTGACAGTCACACAGAGATAAAATACGTTCATCCCAGCAGTTTATGTTTTAATTCTATTGAGATAATTCATTGATAGACCGATTTTTGTATTACGTCATAAATATTTAAATAAATGACGTTGCAAAAACAAAAAAAAACAAAAAACCGTTGGACATACAGGGCGCTCTGTTTCCATGGCCGTTCAGGTGAGGAGAATTAATTGTTCTTGAATAAGATAATTTAAAGAGCACTGGTTTAATAATTGTTAGCCCTACTATATCATCTAGTCAAGGAAGTATTGTTGTTTTTCGGTTCACACGTAGGCTATTTGCATCATGTTCTTTAAATGCAGGAGTTATTACATTTTCATATAAAAACTACAAAAGAAAAACCGTTTAACTTGGAATATAACTAGGAATATTAATAACTAACTTTTGCCAAAAGTCATTTGATCCTTTTTTTTATTTTGCAAAGGTAAAATTATATTAAATAAATGAACATCAATTAAATAAACAATGAACATCACAAAATGTACAATTTTAAATTGTCAATGAAGTAGAACAATAAGAAGAGTCGAGTCTATATTTATAGTTAAATTATCCATTTATTACAGTGTTTAAATGGGACAAAGAATATTTCAGGGTTTCAATCACTAGACAACCATGTTTACATCTTTGTGCTTGAGAGTGACTTTTTATAGCTATTCTGGATCTGTTCATGTCAGTGATTATGAGGCCTGAGGTGAGCAAGCATACAGTAAATAAAGCCCAATGATTAGGTTAAATAGCAAAATAGAGATTTCCTCCGGTGAGTATTCAACAAAAATCAATGTTAATCGAGCAGGCCAGTTCCAGTTAAACTTATTTCACCCTGATACTCCAGAAGTGTAGATGGAGATGTGAGATTAGAAGAGAACCAATACACACTCTTTGGGACGGGTACATCACTATACTCTGCTGATATTTCTGTACTTGAATTGAACCAACGGGAGGAAATCTCTATTTTGCTATTTAACCTATCCAATGAAAGAATACTTCCTCTTACTCTATCTCTTACATCAAAATCACTATGACTTGGCTGTGTCAAGAATATGTCTACAGCAGTCAAGAGGGTTCTTAGGGAACAAGTTCAACTTTACCAAGAGCAGTGTAGTTTATTGCAACGTCAGTGGTGTAATAGCTATGTATAATCAATTTCTAGCAAAGAATACATACGTTCAAGATCTCCCTCCAAGGTCAGCTGGTCACTAATGTCAAACCCAAACTTGGAATATTCAAAATCAATGTTCCCATTTCCAGTAGTCTTCAGATTGGATTTCAGACCATTAGCGTTCACATAGATGTTAGCTTGATTATCCATTTTTCCATTAAGATCAATAGCACCTGTGAATGTAGAATCTGTGGTTACTTGGGTTGCAGACTCAATGGAGATGTAGGAAAGAGTTGCATCCAGCTTTAATGTATTCTCAGCATCTCCATGTCCAGCAGCCTCCGAATCCTGACGATCAAAAGTGTACTTGATCTTTAAGTTTGATGTTGCCTTTGGATGGACCTTGGTGTCCGCAGAAAGTTGATGAGTGGCATCAATAGTGAAGCTTGTCAGATTAATCTTAGCAACTGTGTCCACAGACAATACAGCCTCATAGATGTCTTCCAGGGTCAAGGTACTCCCGTGATAACCGCCAATGTGGGCATTCTCCAAAGACAAACAAGAGGCCAGTTTCAATCCACTTTTTGTGGTCAGGCCAGTGGTTCCATTAAGCTTGGCCTTCAATCCCTGAAACACGGAGGCAGTTGTGGCACTTACACACATCCAGTAATCCTTCGGATAAATCCCTGCATTAGCATTGAGGTTAAGAATAGAGGACTTGAAAGACACCTCAGAGACTAAGTTACCCAATGAAGGAACAATGAGACCCAAATCAATAATAGGAGCAAACCAGCTCGTCTGGTAGACAAGTTTGGCACTTAGATCAACAGGCTGGTCATTTGTGGTAAAGTCATACCATAGGCCAGTATTATCATTCAAGTTCAGCTCTCTAGTTGCTGGAATCTTGAAAATGGCTGGCACAAACATTTCTGCAGCATTTAAGTACCCAAAGCTGGCCAAACTATTCACAACAGCGTAAATACCCATCTCAGCTTTGTTGTTGCTGGCTGTGTGAAGTTATGGCTGTAGTTGTAATTGTTTAAAGACCCACTCCGATGAAAATAATGTTTTTCTAGGTGTTAACATGTTCTTGTGGCATTTTTCTGATGTTAGAGGACATATCTTGAGAAAAATCAGCTCAAAGTTGTATTTCTGAGTATTTCTACATTCAAATGGCTGTGAATCAGTAGCAGACGCTAAAATGCTGGCTAAAATCGACTGGAGTTGTGACGTAGTAACTCCACTGGGCGTCTCCACACGCGACGTCTTGGAGTGAAATAATGATCGGTGATCGGTGATAACTTTGATTAACTTCGGATAATAATAATTAACGTGTATATAATACTGTTGCCCCACCGGTATTGGGGATGTAAGCTAGCGGGAGAGACAGAGCTCTCAGCAACGGGCAGGGGGAGGGGCGTCTCCGTGCCAACGGCTCCGCCCACATCGCAGAGGCGAATTGCTAATGAGCTACTGCCGCTCTGCTGAAGCGAAGTCCCAGAAAACGGCACAGGTTTTGTGATTTTGGCTAAAAATGGCATAATCATAATTTAAAGACCACTGGGAATGTTTAAAAATAGCTCAAAATATGATCGGAGTGGGACTTTAAGTAGGCGACTACCACACTGCTGATTTCTTGTATGTCAGAGTTGAAGGTAGGGGTGGGCGGTATGACCAAAATTCTATTTCACGGTATGACTAATTTTATTTCACGGTAACGATATATTTCACGATATAGTTATTTATATATGTAGTTATTCTCGAAAAATCTACAAAAAGGGCTTTGTATAATAAATAAACCCAAATACTTTAGAAATGAAAAGTACTTCACATTGTTTTCTGTTTCTCTTATTTGGTAAATTATTTCTTTGGTAAACTATTTAGATAGCTAAATATAAACAAAACACACTCATCAACTTTTAGATGAACTTCCCCCAACTGATTAATGTTAAATACAACTCATAGGTGCAATTAAACTTTAAATAAAGTGTTTCTGAATAATTTTTCAATGTCATGTTATGCTTTACTTCATCAATCAGTTTATAATATCTGAATATTTTAAATTGAACTATTCTATTCATGATAAATTAGTTATTTCCTTTTAATTTAGTAGGATAGTAATACTAGTTATGTTTAAATGTGTTCCCCGGTACATTTTTGCCATGTCTGCTTAGGCTACACTGCGTTTTTAAGGGGCTTGTTTTGCTCTTTTTGTGATATCTGGCAACCCGTCACCCTGCGCTTTAATCAATAGAAGTTCAGAAGTGACTAGAAGGACTAAGGAGAGCAGCAGTTTGAAAACCGAACAGCAGCTACTGTTAGTGTTGACAAAGTAGACTAGGTTAAATTATACACACCTTGTACTGCGTCATTATTTGACCATAGCCCGGTGAACACCGCGCTCCCTCAGTGCGTGTGCACGCGCGTCTTCTGCATCAGTAAAATGCGATCGGTAAATTTGAGTGTCAAGTTGTAATCACGTATCGAATCAAAGGAAGATTTTATCAGCTGGTTCGGTGGCCAATTGTTTGGAGTTAGAAATCTATAACTCGCGAAGCATATTTAGTAATTTTGCCTCAGATAGGCTACAGGATTATACATTCACTTTAACAAGCAGGTTGTTCATTACCACGGGCGGCAAACTGTTTGCGTGTTTAAAAACATAAGAGACGGAAATAACTATTTAAGGTTATTTCTATTCGTTACGATATTGATATATGAACTGTTGTTGTCCAGCTTTCCCCGTTGCGAACGTGCACTCCTCGAATCTGTAGCCTGGGCACTGCTCTAGTTAACTGCTGCGCCTTCCCCCCCGAAAATATCACGTTAACAAAAACAACAACAACCCTTTAGAAAATGTAATTCCTTTGTGGATCCTCTTGATCTGCTTTCTCCGTGTTTCTTTTTACAATTCGCTGTGTTTCAGTCTCACGCACGTTGCACGCGAGTTAACCACGCCCACTTATTTGCATGTCGCGGTATACACGGAATAAAAAAATCTGTTACGGTTGACATTTTCTACCGCGGTAACGATATATACCGTCATACCGCCCAGCCCTAGTTGAAGGTAACAGTGTAGTCTTTCTAGACATCAACATTGGCTGAAAAAGACTCGAAGAGGTTGATCTTAGCAATACCCCTGTTCTGAAAGTCAATAACAACCTCACTAGGACGTGTCACGGGTCTATGAAGGAGGACTCAAATGCAGAACGAGTGTTAACAGGTTTATTGACAAACAGTAGACAAGATGTGGTGGGAGAGGTGAACAGTCCAGACAAAAGGCAGGGATGAGACACAAAGACAGCCGTTGCAGCAAAACTTCCAGAGCAGCAGCTGTAGCTAGCACAAGAAGACTGTAGGCTGGAGAGTAGTGTTTGCAGAGCAGAAAGAGACCTGAGAGTACTAGCAATAGCCAGACAGGAACCTCCAAGGACAACAGCAAGGCACTCAGGGATCTCAGGCTAAGCATCAGGCTTGCACCAAAGCACAGAGTGCAAGCAGCCAGGGACACTCTGCTAGCAGGACTGGAACTAGAGACTCAGGAGACAAGACAGACAGGACCAATGGCAGAACTAAAGCACTAACAAACTTCTACAAATAAAACACAATAGACTTAGGTAACAAGAAACTAGCTAAGTAGCACAGATTTAAACAGTAGCACAACATTCAACGAACTGGCAACACATGAGGGAAAGAGCACACACATAAAGGGAGTTAACAAGAGTAACAGGTGAGAACACTTAGACAAGGAACAGGTGAACACTCACGTAAACGAGGACTGAAACAAGGGAGCAGAGAACATGATGAACAGGTGACAACACTCAGACAAACGAGGACTCAACTAGACAAGAGGGCGTGGTACAGAGAAACAAGGAGGCAGGAACAGAGGAGCACATGGCCAACACAAACACAACCATAGGCTTGTTCGACTTCATGCAGCTCTGCGCAGACCGATCGGCGGCAGACTTGACGCAGTGCATGCCGGTTAGAAATTTTGTCCGACTTGATACAGCGCCGACGCCACGTGACTGTGACGTATGCCATCAAAGTACCGCGAGAGCGATTCGAGAGTAGCCGGAGAACTCAGCCAGCGCAGCTTCTGAAGAGCGGCTGCTCTGGGCTGCACGAGCTCTGATGACGACACAGCTGTTCCACGATTGGCCGGATTCACCGCATGACAACGATCACGTGCGTTTCGTGTTTATTCGGTTTATTCTCACACCTTTAGTTCCACTAAAGCTCACAAATCAGTTTTTTTTTATAACAGTAAACACTCTTTTCATGTAGTCGCGATGTATTGTGTTATGTTTATCAAAATAAAACTGATTAAAAAAACGTTGATTCCACTTCATTGATAGTAGCTGTAGGCTTATGTTAAACTTTATTCTTGTTCAAACAAACGCTGTATGAAGCAGTACATAAAGTATTGAATGAAAATGTCTCTGAAACATCTGTGTATTTGGCAAATATTGCATTTATTTCACTTCAGCTGTGCTAAAGTATACAAACATCACGTGAGCGGTCACTACAGGAACCAGAAAGTGTCCGACTTCACGTCTCCGTTTGCAGCTCCTCCCCGCCTGCACGCGGCTACTCTCGCCGATCAGTTACATCCAGCCGCAGCCGATGTCGAACACACCTCATATGTTCAAGCTCAACACAAACATAGAGACATGAAACAAAGACAACACAGACAAAGCTGCCAGAGCAAGACCCTGACAGTACCCCCCATCTAATGGACGCCTCCAGGCGTCCAAAACAGGCATAGAAGTCCAAGGAGGCAACAACTGGGGAGGCGGGTGGGGCATAAACATAGAAGTCCCAAACTGACCAGGAAACACAGAGGGAGGGATGGGGCGGGTGGGAACAGAACCGGGTAAAAAGTTCAAGGCTGACAAAGGAGGTGCCGGCTTAGGGGAACCATAACCAGGAAACGCAGAGGGTGAGACGGGAGGAAAGGGAACTTGATAGGAGGTACTCTTGGACACAGGAACTGGCCTAACTGGTCTGGACTTCCAACTGGGCTTGACAGACTTGGGGGCAAAGACATGACTAGCAGGATTGGTGAAGGTCTTGGAATCAGGTGCGGGGACTGACTCAGGAGCGCCCTCCTGGGCTGCGCTGGCGTGCTCAGGGACTGACTCAGGAGCGCCCTCCTGGGCTGCGCTGGCGTGCACAGGGACTGCGCTCTCTGGAGCAACGCTCACCTCAGCAGGCTCGGGGACCGCCTTCACAGCAGCGGGCTCGGGGACCGCCTTCACAGCAGCGGGCTCGGGGACCGCCTTCACAGCAGCGGGCTCGGGGACCGCCTTCACAGCAGCGGGCTCGCATTCTGCAGTCTTGACAGGCTTGGCAGAAATGTCTAGGGATTTGACAAGACTTGTAAGACATTCAGAGAAGGCCTCTGCGGCAATGACAACAGGCAGCTTTGGAATGACCTCTGTGAACATGACAGGACTGGGAGAAATTGTCTCTGAGGGAATGACATTACTAGTCAATTACTTAGAAAATGGTTCTACTGGAATTGATACCTCAGGAACCACTGGACCTGGAGCTTGAGAATGGAGAATTGTAGACTGTTCTGCACAGGCCTTTCTCTTCTTCCTCCTTCGACGGGCTGATACTGTGTGCTGGACAGCCTCTGTAGAATCTACAGCTAACTCAGCCAAACCAGGCAGAATAGCAGTGACCGTCGACTCAGCAGTGACTGAAACAGACCTAGCAGACTCTGAGGTAACAGGAACACTCTGGGTTGTTACTGGGAAAACAGAGGTTAAGTCGGCAGACTCAGAGATGGCTGGAACTGACGTAATAGTCTGAGGGAAGACAGCGGTTGATTTGACTGTCTTGAATAACAGATATTGACTCAGTTCTTAAAGTGACTGGGACTGACCTGGATGTCTGAGAGATGGTGATAAGTTTGACTGACTCTGGGGTAGCTGTGGTGGACTGAACTGTCCAATTCCGTCTGAATCTTAGTTTCTTAGTGGAAGCCAGAGGAGGATCATAAATGTGACGAGACAGGCGAGGAAGGGCAGGGTGGTTGTTGAAAGCAGATTCCGGTGGACTTGGCGGCATTCCCCACTTACTGCGTACCTAGAGAAACCCCAGAAATCCAGAATACGGAGAGAATCCATCTCCCATGCAGGCAAGGGATCATCCAGGCAGGAGTTAAAAATGTCCTTGAGAGCAGCATCATTATAATCTAGCCCCACAGACATGGTCCAAAAGAATTGGGCAAAACTCCCCACCTCAAAACCATCCTGGCGAAGAGCAGTGAGACCACGATGACGAGCCATTCTCTCCTGGATGTTAGCAGTTGGCAGGATCTTGATGCTCATTCTGCTGAGTCCTGAACTGGCCAGTTCGTTCTGTCACGGGTCTATGAAGGAGGACTCAAATGCAGAACGAGTGTTAACAGGTTTATTGACAAACAGTAGACAAGATGTGGTGGGAGAGGTGAACAGTCCAGACAAAAGGCAGGGATGAGACACAAAGACAGCCGTTGCAGCAAAAATTCCAGAGCAGCAGCTGTAGCTAGCACAAGAAGACTGTAGGCTGGAGAGTAGTATTTTCAGAGCAGAAAGAGACCTGAGAGTACTAGCAATAGCCAGACAGGAACCTCCAAGGACAACAGCAAGGCACTCTGGGATCTCAGGCTAAGCATCAGGCTTGCACCAAAGCACAGAGTGCAAGCAGCCAGGGACACTCTGCTAGCAGGACTGGAACTAGAGACTCAGGAGACAAGACAGACAGGACCAATGGCAGAACTAAAGCACTAACAAACTTCTACAAATAAAACACAATAGACTTAGGTAACAAGAAACTAGCTAAGTAGCACAACATTCAACGAACTGGCAACACATGAGGGAAAGAGCACACACATAAAGGGAGTTAACAAGAGTAACAGGTGAGAACACTTAGACAAGGAACAGGTGAACACTCACATAAACGAGGACTGAAACAAGGGAGCAGAGAACATGAGGAACAGGTGACAACACTCAGACAAACGAGGACTCAACTAGACAAGAGGGCGTGGTACAGAGAAACAAGGAGGCAGGAACAGAGGAGCACATGGCCAACACAAACACAACCATATGTTCAAGCACAAGACAAACATAGAGACATGAAACAAAGACAACACAGACAAAGCTGCCAGAGCAAGACCCTGACAGGACGAGTCATGATGTTGGCGGCATTAGAGAGGACCCCGCTGACAGCTCCGACAACCGATGTGACATGGGATGCCTTGATTTCCACCATCATATCGCTCAAGCGAGCCTTCCCAGAAGCAACCAGCAAACTGTTCTTGATAAATGGAGACTCAGTATTAACACTAGCATTGAATTCAAGGTGCCTTAGAGCAACAGCATCAGCCTTCACTTTCATCTTCATCTTGATCTGCAAAGCATCGCTATCAGTGTGGCCAGTAAAAGACAGCTTGGCGGCGCCAATGCCCATGTTCAAATGCAAGTCACTCTTATGGGTGCCTTCCTTAGAGAAGTCTTGAAGGGCAAATCTGCCAGTTCCTTCATTTTTAACTGTTATTGTGAATGCAGCATCATCCTGGCAAGCTACAGCCTTCTGAATCAGGATAGCTTCACCAAACAGTGAGTGTGAGGGGATGTTCACCTGGTTTTTGTATGAAGTTTCAAGAAAGAAAGTATTGTTAGAGGCAGATCCATTCAGAGTCAACAATGCCTGTTGGTCTAAAGTCAATTCAATGTGTGTTAACTTGAAAGTTTCAGACACTATTACAGGACTCGTCTCGGGGATCGATATCTGTGCTGTGGATTCTAGATCATAACTCAGAACGTTGAGGTTTGCAGAGGTTCCTATAGAGTTAATGCAAGCTGTGAAAAAAGGGTATCTCTTTGAGGCGTTCATGAACTCTGCAGAGGTTCTGGCGTTGTTCTGATTATAATTTCACCATACAGTTTTCCAAAAGATGGCACTAGAAGAGATGTCGAAATTGCAGGAATCTGACTGTCAAGCTTGTTCTCAGCACTGGCAGGATGGAAGATTTCATTCAGCTTTGTGTAACCTTGGGTCTTGATCAAGCTAAGAATATTTTTTACATCCTCAATGATGGAAAATATCAAAACCTTGATGTGCTTTGGTAGGATTTCAACAACTTTGTCAATATGCATACCCATCACAATCAATTCCCCCAAACTATCCAATGCCTCACTGAAACGGTTGAACATATCACTCACTAATTTCTCAAATGCACCGATCCAGACTGATCTCATGAAATGGCGTATGTATGACACACCAATTCGTATTTCCATTTTTGGCGTGCTATTAACACGCATAATCGCTTTTCAGCGTGTTTATCAACGCCTTTGACTTAACGTTACATTACTGTATTATATAAATATATGACCTACCCCAACCCCGTCCCTAAACCTACCCGTCACTGGGGTTAATACCATTTATGAGTCTTCTCCTACCATCCTAGGAAAAGAAATATCGCTCCACAGATGTAGATATAGATTTTGCTTCGTTTCGCTCGGAAATTTAACGGCGTAGACATACACGCAAAAGATTTCGGTGTTGACATACACGCGGATAGCTCAAAATGCGTATAGATAACACGCCACTTGACTTGAAAGTGGCGTGTATGTTTACGCAAAGTCATGATGTCATGTTGACCGATCAGACCTTTCAGCTTTAATGCGTTCTCGTGGTACGGAACTTTCAAGGCATGTTTCAGCTGCACAGCTCTTCTCTCAAAGTTCAAATTAGACACAAAATCACTTACATGATGAGGTATGTTCTGAATTTTAGAAGCAATCCCCTCTCGGTTGATGTATTTCCTCAGGGTCTCGCCCATACTCACAAGTGTTATTCTGATGTTGTCAGGGACTCGAGAAAAACTTTCAATGAAAGGCAAACTAATTGATTGTGTATCAGTGCTTTTGTCATACTTTAGGAAGCCAGAGACTGCAAAGTCCTGATAAGAAGTGTTGGCAGTGTTGAACAGATTGGTGTGCACTTTTCCAGACCCTTCCAGCCCAAGCCGCGCTGGACTGTTGTAAGCGCTGATTTCCTGTTTACTGGCATAGTCGTTCACTTCAGCCTTAATTGTCACTTTAATCTTTTGTTCAGAGGGGATAAGCAAAGTGTCAGACATGCTTTCAAATTGTGATTTAATGTTGACACTGTTGTCTAGGTTAAGGCGGGTTGAGATTTTGCATTCATGAGACTGAGCTATGGATTGTGGTTCTGCTTTTAGAAAGACTTTTGCGATAAAACCATGCCCTACGTGTACATAAGGGAAGTGTGTGTTATCCTTACCATTAACACTGGCATCAAAATTGAAACTGAATGGAATAGATTCATCACTATTGGTGTCAAAATTAAATGATCTGGAGTTGAAATGTATATGATTTTTGATTTTACCAGAAAGTCCAGCAATCTCTAGCTCAGTGTTGTAGTTAATGTGACTTCCCATGATTTGTCCAATGGTTTTGCACTGAGCAGTGGCAGTTTCGTTTTTGTAGGTGATCTCGAAGGTGTGCTTAAGCTCCTGCAGACTCAGGAGGCTTTGCAGTGAGGTTGTGCCATTGGTTCTCAGGCCATCTTTATTGAGGTTCAGAATAGCTTTGTGGACAGCTTGGTGTCCAATGAGTTTAACAGAGGCGTCACTGTGAATAGCTAGACCACTGATGTCCAGTGCTCCTGTGACCAGGGAATGGATAAGTTATTCAATGCTGTAAGTTGAGGTCTCAATCTTAATGCTAACTGCTTCAACACCAGCTCTGGTCTCAACCACGTTTTGAATCTTCAGGCCAAGAACCTGTGCTTTCGTATGAGAATTAAGTTCAAACTGGGATTCCTTGAAGGTTATTTTAGCAATGTTTAGCAATGTTAGAAGGTTGTCAAATGCTGTGTTGTTGGCCAGAATTATCAGCTCTCCATTGGCAAAGGCTACAGCAAAGGAGTTGTGAGCCCGAAGAAGTTTTGAATCTACTTTCAGTGGAGAATTAATCTTTGCCTCTTGTCTGAATGGGAGGACTGAGACTGATTGCAAAAGGTTTCCTGAACCATGGACTGAACCAGCCTTGAAGAATGCTAACAGGTTTCCATCTCCAGAGATCTCCTCGGCATCAACGCCAAACTGTCCAGTGTGCTCCAATGAAATTTGCACTCCAACACGGCTAGTAACTTTAAGCTTGCTTTTGGATTTCACACTGAGTTTTTCAGCAAATTCTACTTCCCCCTCAACACCAATCGTGGCACCGATAATCTTGTGGTGAAGCACAGCCTTTACGTTAGCCTTGAGAGAATCGCCAGGTGTGGTCTCAACTAGAGCAGATCCTGTGAAATAAATCAATCAATAAGCAACCATCCAAAACAAGTGCATGCCTACAGTGCATGTGGTACTTCAATTATAGGTTTACCTTCGACCTTTAGGGAGAGAAGGTCAACAGGACTTGTGCCAGTGACTTCAAACTTAGCAGAATAACTTTCAGCAGGATCTCTGGCTGCAGACACAGCTGCGTCTAAGATGTAAAAGTTGCTGTTTAGTTTTCCGGACAACTCTACCAATCCGAGAGTCGGCACAGACAGCGACACACTCCCAGGAATGAAGACCTCTGGAAGGTTAATGCTAGCAGATTCAAATTCCAGACCAAGATGAGGTACAATCAGGTTTGGTGTGGAGAGCGTTGTGGGAAAGTTCAGATCCCTACTGGATTTTCCACCCAAGGGCAAGGGAAGAGTGATGGTATAGTAATGCTGGCCAAAGTGATGTTTAACAGCAGCCTCTCTGTTTAAAAAGCATGTGTCAATTTTAACTGGTAACTGTGAAATTAATTGAAATACTGGTGAACATGGTGAGTTTTGCTCACACATTTAGGAACAATCTTTCAGGAAGAGTGATCACCGGCACGGTGTGAACTCCCAAAATCTGCATATATGTAAAAATAAAATAAATAAAAGTAAGTCATTATTTACTCACCCTGGTGTTGTTCTAATGCAGTATGCTGTTCTATCTTTTTCAGACCACAAAAAAGATCATTTAAAAAGTCCTCCTCACATGCCTATCCTCCTGCACCAACCTCAAACTTTCATAGAAAGACGCAAAAGTATCACTGAATGGTCTGATGCATCACATGTCATATATTCCAAGTGTTCTGGGGTTTACGATAGAGCTTGGTGGAAAAGAAACCATAATTGAATGTATTATTTAACGAAAATCCTGACCTTGGCTGCTTATCCTCTATGCTCAACTGCATGCGTTCATTAGACTCTTATTAGCGACGCAGTTCACTCCGACTCGCCCAGAAAAACACACAAGTTGTGAGAAATCAAGCAACATGAAATACAATCCATGTACTTTTTTGTGTTTGTCGTAACTATATTTGATTCAGTGAAGAAAGTACTTAGATACTATTTGGAATTTATAGGTGATGTATTTCATGATGTGTTTTAATTCATTTTGATTTCTCACAACTTGTGGCCAAGGTCAGGATTTTTGTTAAATAATACATTAAATTTCGTTTTGTTTTTTACCAAACCCTATCGTAAACCCCCAGAACACTTGGAATATGTGTTGTGTCACAAGGGATCATTCTGTGATGCTTTTGCATCTTTTTTGAAAAGCTTGATGCTGGTCGCATTCACTGCCATTATATGGACAAGAGCAAGCACTTCATTTAAAAAAAATAAAATGTTCTCCTTTTGTGGTCCGAAAAAAAAAGGAGGGTATAGGCTATGTGGCATTATTAGAACATCACCAGGGTGAGTAAATTACTTAATTTTAGTCCATTTTAGGGTGAACAATCCCTTTAAGTTTAATAAGCATTTATTTGCTGCAAAAAATTCTGTTCTTACTTAGTATTTTTGTCTTGTTACCAGTCCAAATATCAAACATTTCTTAAATCAAGATGCATATAAAGTAGTAAAATGACATAAGATATTAAGTCTTGTTTTCTGGGGAAATAAATAAAAATGAAGTGAGTTTTTGCTTAAAACAAGCAAAATTATCTGCCAATGGGGTCAGAAAAATAAGCTTGTTTCTGTTTGAATTCATATTATTTTTCTGACACCATTGGCAGATAATTTAGCTTTTTTTAAGCATCAACTCATGATTACTTAATTAAGCATGATTACTTCCCCTGGAAAACAGGACATAATATCTTATGTCATTTTACTCATCTAGTAAATGGATCTTGATTTAAGAATTTTTAGATATTTGGACTGGAAACAAAACAAAAATACTAAGTAAGAAAAGCATTTTTTGCAGTGTTTCTTTGGGTATTTTCAAAAGCTGATGAAAACAAATTAAGGGAAGTTCTTACCGCAACTGCCTTTGCCAGAACATCGCGGACCTTCAACTCATTCAGGCCAATCTGGCGATCAAGAAGGATGTTGGGAATGATTCTTTGAATTTCAGATCTGACATCAGACTTAAATTCAGCCTCAATCTTTTCATTCTCTGAGAATATATTTTGAGAGAGATAATTCACTAGAATTATACTGTCATGGTCATATATTTCCTAATTTGAATGGCAAACTGAGATTGAAATTTAAACTGAACAATTATTGCGGTTATCTAAATTTGATCGGATAACCACAATCAGACAATTAATCAATAATCGCGACAGGCCATATGCACTGGACATGTACCATATTTCAGGATGAGTGTTTGAACAGAAGTCGTCTCTGGGAGTTTTAGGTCACTCTCAATTTCCAAAGTAAACTTCTCACCACGCTTCAGTTTTGCAGAAACTTTAGAATCAAGCTGAAGAGAATCGATAAGCAACTCTGCAGAGATGCTGTACTGCTGTCTGTTTAATATCACTACATTTCTGGCCTCATGGGATGTTCCTGTTAGTGAGCAAAAGACAAATGATGGTTAATTTAAATGTGGATGTTTTCTCTTTTTTTTCTCCAGTTATGTATTTTGTTAAGTCGTCTCTAACCTTCAGCCTTCAGGCTAAACGTGACTTTGTCTGCCTCATCTTCGTAGGCGTAGCTGATGGTGGCAAAATACTCTGTGACCTCTTCAGATGGATGGAGCTCAACAGCAAATCTGAACACAGACGAAGTGTGGATGAAATGTTTGAGGAAAAGGAATATTTCGATATTAGTATATAGATGATTTTCACTTACTTTCTGTCACCAGTGAGAGGAAAGTAAGGGGCAGCATCGTTTGATGTTGCATCAGGATACTTCAGGACTGTACAGTACTTCAGTCCAGGGAAAAAAGCAGTGCATTTATTCATATTAATATACTCGCCCTCGGCAGGAATGGGCGTAGCCTTGGCACCAACAACAGACACCAGAGAATCGCTATAGATGGGGGAAAATAAAAGCATTAAATGTATGTAAAATAATTTGACTTGTTTTTAGGGCTGTACGATTAATCATATTTTCATTGTGATCATTTTGGCCTGCTGTTTGTTCATCCTATAAAAATGTATTTCCATTATATTGCATTAGTAACAAGCCTCCACAAGCTTTCATGCTTGCGGATGCCAGATGTCCAAGAGTTTAAATCCTTAAACTCGAGTGGTCCCAGTAGTGTTTATTGAAGAGTACACTGGTGCTTTCTTAATCTGGTTCCACATTGGTTGTTAACTGAGAGCATTGCATATGTGGCCATGCAAGAACAGCCCTAATGAGTTCTTTAAGAACCAATGGAAACACCCAGTTGCATAAACTCCACACTCATGCAAGTCTGGAGAATCATGACTGTTAATGAAAGGGGAGGGATTATCGTTAAATAGCCAAAATCTGTAGAGTACAAAAAGACCAAAGGGCAGCATCTCAACAGTGTGACTAGCTGTTGAACAATGGCAGGAAGTTGGTGTGTTGTTCAGTCTCTGGCACTTTGTGTTTGGTTCTCTGCTTTCTGCCATGCCGTTCCAAAGTGGAGTAATCTGCCCCAAAGTCCTCAAGCTCTGATGTTCCAGCAAACTGACCAGCGGTTTCAACAGCAAGCTGGTCAACAGTTTCCTCAGCAGTTTCCTCAGTCAGTTCAACGGCAAGCTAATCAACAGTATCCTAAGCCAGTTCAACAGCAAGCTAGTCAACAGTTTTCTAAGCCAGTTCAACAGCAAGCTAGTCGGCAGTTTCCTCAGTCTGTTCAACAGCAAGCTAGTCGGCAGTTTCCTCAGTCAGTTCAACAGCAAGCTAGTCAACAGTTTTCTAAGCCAGTTCAACAGCAAGCTAGTCAACAGTTTTCTAAGCCAGTTCAACAGCAAGCTGGTCAACAGTATCCTCAGTCAGCTCAATGGCAAGCTAGTCAACAGTTTTCTAAGCCAGTTCAACAGCAAGCTAGTCAACAGTTTCCTCAGCAGTTGAAGCCTAAACAGCCAGTGGCACAGGCAGAGCCCCTTGACAAATGTGCTGTAGCTGATTATGAGCAGATCCAATGTGGACCACCTGGTATCAGTGGTGCTGAGTGTGCAGCTATTAACTGCTGCTTTAACGGACAGCAGTGTTACTATGGGAAGGCCGGTAAGAGTGTTGAGTCAATATAAAGGTGTTTCTTGTTAAACTGATCCTCATCAATAACCAGCTCTTGTACCTTGTTCCAGTGACTGTCCAGTGTATAAGAGATGGTCAGTTTGTGGTAGTGGTGGCTAGAGATGTCACGCTGCCTCGTTTGAGCCTGGATTCAGTCCGTCTCCTGGGTGGAAATGATCCAGCTTGCAGTCCTGTGGGATCCACACCTTTCTTTGCTATATACCAGTTCCCTGTCACTGCGTGCGGCACGAGCATGACAGTGAGTAGCTGCTTGTGGTTTTGTTCTGCATGGCTTAGAATGGACTGGATGCCAACAGTGTTACTCTTTGCAGGAGGACAGTGGATATGTGGTGTATGAAAACAGAATGACCTCCTCGTATGAAGTGGGTATCGGACCACTTGGTTCCATCACAAGGGACAGCCATTTTGAGTGGGTGACGTATGCTTTAGCACGTTTGTTAATCCTTGGCAAATGCTACAAGCTCACTGTTTGTTTTCCAGGCTTCTCTTCCAGTGTAGGTACTCTGGTACTTCTGTGGAAGCTCTGGTTGTGGAGGTCAACACTGTTCCTCCACCTCCACCAGTAGCTGCTCCTGGACCCCTCAGGGTGGAGCTTAGACTAGCAAATGGTCAGTGTGTCACCAAAGGCTGTGCAGAAGGTAAGTGTTTGACCCAAGTGTGTGCCTAAAGCTCCAGGTTGCAGCGGTTTCTGGTTAAACACTATTCTTCCTCAGGGGACGAGGCGTACACTTCCTACTACAGTGATGCTGATTATCCTGTTACAAAAGTCCTGCGGGAGCCTGTGTATGTTGAGGTGCACGTTTTGGAGAGGACCGACCCCAACATTGTCCTGATGCTGGGACATTGCTGGGCGACATCAACCCCCAGTCCACTCAGTCTACCCCAATGGGACCTTCTGGTTGATGGGTGAGTAAGGCCAGTCTTTATCCATCTAGTGTGCTGTAAGGTGTTTCTGATTCCCTCTTTGCCTTTCAGATGCCCTTACCAGGATGATCGTTACCTGACCACATTGGTTCCAGTGGCTGGATCGTCTGGTCTTCAGTTCCCAACCCACTACAAGCGCTTTATTGTGAAGATGTTCACATTTGTTGATCCATCATCACTGGCTCCTCTGCAGGAAACCGTATGCTCTGCAGCCTTACCTCAACCCTTAATATTAGTACTTTTTATAGTGAATTCTATGGCTAAACCCTTTCCCCCTCTGTTAGATCTTCATCCACTGTAGTACAGCAGTGTGCCATCCCTCTTCTGGCTCCTGTGAGCAAAGCTGCACTAGGAAAAGTGAGTGCTTGCTGTAAACCGACTTGGGAACTGTGAGAATTTGGTATTTAAATGCTCCTCATGCTTCTACCACTTCTTTTACAGGAAGGGACACTCCCATCAAGACCGTCTCTAGTGGGCAAACTGTGGTGTCTAGTGGAGAAGTTAACCTGGTCATGTGAATTTAGATTTAATAAATTGGTATTGATTTTCAACGAGTCGGATCTTACATGACTGTTCTTGGTTTTATTTATTGGGCCACACTACTAAACCAAAGTTCCATTTTTGCTTTAGCAAGGTTGTTCATTCTGATTGGTGCTAGATTTGAACTAAAGAAGCCAAGCTTCTGCCCAAGCCATTTCACTGAACTACTTGCCAAGCTCCAGTTGCAAACCTGGGTTCCTCAATATTTTATATAGCAGGGTGCACACTTTTTTTTTTCCTCGCAGTTTGTTTTGCCAAGGGATAAAACATAACGGTAACTGTGACTTATTTCACAATTCTTACTTATTTTTCACAATTGTGAGTTACAGTACTTCTGGCAAATAAACCCTGCATATGAGTTGACGTTCTCTTGATTTGTGTTGACATGAAAGTGCAATAATTCTGATAAAACAAGAAATTTCTCAAATGAGAATAATCATGAATATCAGTTTAACCATCATTGTGCAGCCCTACTTGTTGTGTGAAGGGCTTTTAAATCCCTTTATTGCATTAATATAATCCATTTCCAGATGTCTTGTGACGCTGATGAGCTCAATTGGCCCATGCGGAGCTGGAATGGATAGTTTGAGCTGGCTGTTGTCACCGAGAGCTTCGCTCTAATGATAGATGTTTGTGTGCATCTCCAGACCACGGTGAACATAGTCAGGGAAGTGAGTCTCAGTCACAAACTCAATGCTGGCAGACAGTGGCAAAGCATTGATAACAATCAGAAATGTTTCTTGAGCAGCAAATCAGCATATTAGAATGATTTCTAAAGGATCTTGTGACACTTAAGACTGGAGGCCAGAATAGCCAAAACATCCACTATTTAGTGATGGGAATTTCAAAACACTGCCTCATGAAGCTTTGAGGCCTTTACAAATCGTTTGTTCCGAATCAATGGTTCGGAGCGTGTATCAAACTGCCGGAGTCACGTGATTTCAGTAAACGAGGCTTCAATACGTCATAACTGTTTCGAAACGTTTTGGAACACTTCGGAATTTCAATGGTTCGTCGCTGGGGGCGATGATCTCTGTCAACCCAGGAATCATGAGGATTCACTGAGAACCATTGAACAAGTGTCTGTGGGTTTTACCTGATCTCTGATCAGTTTTATACATTTGTAGACTATTTAATTAGACATTATAATTCAAATGAATAATGGTAGTTAATAGTCTTATTGGCCTGTTTAGCTGAGCCATTCATAGAACTAACAAAACAAACCCTGACAATTGATAAAAGAACATATATACACTTGATAATCTTGTTAGATGATTAGATAATTACATTTGAAATATTTTACTTTCAATAAAACATTTGCAATAGATTTGTAAAAGGGGTTTTAAATGCATGTTTGGCCTGGGTTTTTGTTGCATTTACACTGTTCTGACCACTAGGGGTCACCATGGAGACAGGTGTCGGATTGTTTCGAAGCCTCGACAAAATACGGCACATTTGCTTCAACTTTTTCAGTGTTTTACGAAGCCTCGATCTGCCCACCACTACCACTATTATATTCACAGGATGAAGCATAAAACAAAGGCTGAATTCTGAACGGCAGAAATAGTACTAGTAAACTATTCTGAAATAAGCTCAATATGTGCATTCTATGTATGTTCCAAAAGGGTGGAAAAACAAGGACAGTTGAATCTTAAGAACCAATGGAAACACCCAGTTGCATAAACTCCACACTCATGCAAGTCTGGAGAATCATGACTGTTAATGAAAAGGGAGGGATTATCGTTAATTAGCCAAAATCTGTAGAGTACAAAAAGACCAAAGGGCAGCATCTCAACAATGTGACTAGCTGTTGAACAATGGCAGGAAGTTGGTGTGTTGTTCAGTCTCTGGCACTTTGTGTTTGGGTCTGTGCTTTCTGCCATGCCGTTCCAAAGTGGAGTAATCTGCCCCAAAGTCCTCAAGCTCTGATGTTCCAGCAAACTGACCAGCGGTTTCAACAGCAAGCTGGTCAACAGTTTCCTCAGCAGTTTCCTCAGTCAGTTCAACGGCAAGCTAATCAACAGTATCCTAAGCCAGTTCAACAGCAAGCTGGTCAACAGTATCCTCAGACAGTTCAACAGCAAGCTAGTCAACAGTTTCCTCAGTCAGTTCAACAGCAAGCTAGTCAACAGTTTTCTAAGCCAGTTCAACAGCAAGCTGGTCAACAGTTTTCTAAGCCAGTTCAACAGCAAGCTGGTCAACAGTATCCTCAGTCAGCTCAATGGCAAGCTAGTCAACAGTTTTCTAAGCCAGTTCAACAGCAAGCTAGTCAACAGTTTCCTCAGTCAGTTCAACAGCAAGCTAGTCAACAGTTTCCTCAGCAGTTGAAGCCTAAACAGCCAGTGGCACAGGCAGAGCCCCTTGACAAATGTGCTGTAGCTGATTATGAGCAGATCCAATGTGGACCACCTGGTATCAGTGGTGCTGAGTGTGCAGCTATTAACTGCTGCTTTAACGGACAGCAGTGTTACTATGGGAAGGCCGGTAAGAGTGTTGAGTCAATGTAAAGGTGTTTCTTGTTAAACTGATCCTCATCAATAACCAGCTCTTGTACCTTGTTCCAGTGACTGTCCAGTGTATAAGAGATGGTCAGTTTGTGGTAGTGGTGGCTAGAGATGTCACGCTGCCTCGTTTGAGCCTGGATTCAGTCCGTCTCCTGGGTGGAAATGATCCAGCTTGCAGTCCTGTGGGATCCACACCTTTCTTTGCTATATACCAGTTCCCTGTCACTGCGTGCGGCACGAGCATGACAGTGAGTAGCTGCTTGTGGTTTTGTTCTGCATGGCTTAGAATGGACTGGATGCCAACAGTGTTACTCTTTGCAGGAGGACAGTGGATATGTGGTGTATGAAAACAGAATGACCTCCTCGTATGAAGTGGGTATCGGACCACTTGGTTCCATCACAAGGGACAGCCATTTTGAGTGGGTGACGTATGCTTTAGCACGTTTGTTAATCCTTGGCAAATGCTACAAGCTCACTGTTTGTTTTCCAGGCTTCTCTTCCAGTGTAGGTACTCTGGTGCTTCTGTGGAAGCTCTGGTTGTGGAGGTCAACACTGTTCCTCCACCTCCACCAGTAGCTGCTCCTGGACCCCTCAGGGTGGAGCTTAGACTAGCAAATGGTCAGTGTGTCACCAAAGGCTGTGCAGAAGGTAAGTGTTTGACCCAAGTGTGTGCCTAAAGCTCCAGGTTGCAGCGGTTTCTGGTTAAACACTATTCTTCCTCAGGGGACGAGGCGTACACTTCCTACTACAGTGATGCTGATTATCCTGTTACAAAAGTCCTGCGGGAGCCTGTGTATGTTGAGGTGCACGTTTTGGAGAGGACCGACCCCAACATTGTCCTGATGCTGGGACATTGCTGGGCGACATCAACCCCCAGTCCACTCAGTCTACCCCAATGGGACCTTCTGGTTGATGGGTGAGTAAGGCCAGTCTTTATCCATCTAGTGTGCTGTAAGGTGTTTCTGATTCCCTCTTTGCCTTTCAGATGCCCTTACCAGGATGATCGTTACCTGACCACATTGGTTCCAGTGGCTGGATCGTCTGGTCTTCAGTTCCCAACCCACTACAAGCGCTTTATTGTGAAGATGTTCACATTTGTTGATCCATCATCACTGGCTCCTCTGCAGGAAACCGTATGCTCCGCAGCCTTACCTCAACCCTTAATATTAGTACTTTTTATAGTGAATTCTATGGCTAAACCCTTTCCCCCTCTGTTAGATCTTCATCCACTGTAGTACAGCAGTGTGCCATCCCTCTTCTGGCTCCTGTGAGCAAAGCTGCACTAGGAAAAGTGAGTGCTTGCTGTAAACCGACTTGGGAACTGTGAGAATTTGGTATTTAAATGCTCCTCATGCTTCTACCACTTCTTTTACAGGAAGGGACACTCCCATCAAGACCGTCTCTAGTGGGCAAACTGTGGTGTCTAGTGGAGAAGTTAACCTGGTCATGTGAATTTAGATTTAATAAATTGGTATTGATTTTCAACGAGTCGGATCTTACATGACTGTTCTTGGTTTTATTTATTGGGCCACACTACTAAACCAAAGTTCCATTTTTGCTTTAGCAAGGTTGTTCATTCTGATTGGTGCTAGATTTGAACTAAAGAAGCCAAGCTTCTGCCCAAGCCATTTCACTGAACTACTTGCCAAGCTCCAGTTGCAAACCTGGGTTCCTCAATATTTTATATAGCAGGGTGCAGACTTTTTTTTCCTCGCAGTTTGTTTTGCCAAGGGATAAAACATAACGGTAACTGTGACTTATTTCACAATTCTTACTTATTTTTCACAATTGTGAGCTACAGTACTTCTGGCAAATAAACCCTGCATATGAGTTGACATGAAAGTGCAATAATTCTGATAAAACAAGAAATTTCTCAAATGAGAATAATCATGATTATCAGTTTAACCATCATTGTGCAGCCCTACTTGTTGTGTGAAGGGCTTTTAAATCCCTTTATTGCATTAATATAATCCATTTCCAGATGTCTTGTGACGCTGATGAGCTCAATTGGCCCATGCGGAGCTGGAATGGAGAGTTTGAGCTGGCTGTTGTCACCGAGAGCTTCGCTCTAATGATAGATGTTTGTGTGCATCTCCAGACCACGGTGAACATAGTCAGGGAAGTGAGTCTCAGTCACAAACTCAATGCTGGCAGACAGTGGCAAAGCATTGATAACAATCAGAAATGTTTCTTGAGCAGCAAATCAGCATATTAGAATGATTTCTAAAGGATCTTGTGACACTTAAGACTGGAGGCCAGAATAGCCAAAACATCCACTATTTAGTGATGGGAATTTCAAAACACTGCTTCATGAAGCTTTGAGGCCTTTACAAATCGTTTGTTCCGAATCAATGGTTCGGAGCGTGTATCAAACTGCCGGAGTCACGTGATTTCAGTAAACGAGGCTTCAATACGTCATAACTGTTTCGAAACGTTTTGGAACACTTCGGAATTTCAATGGTTCGTCGCTGGGGGCGATGATCTCTGTCAACCCAGGAATCATGAGGATTCACTGAGAACCATTGAACAAGTGTCTGTGGGTTTTACCTGATCTCTGATCAGTTTTATACATTTGTAGACTATTTAATTAGACATTATAATTCAAATGAATAATGGTAGTTAATAGTCTTATTGGCCTGTTTAGCTGAGCCATTCATAGAACTAACAAAACAAACCCTGACAATTGATAAAAGAACATATATACACTTGATAATCTTGTTAGATGATTAGATAATTACATTTGAAAGATTTTACTTTCAATAAAACATTTGCAATAGCTTTGTAAAAGGGGTTTTAAATGCATGTTTGGCCTGGGTTTTTGTTGCATTTACACTGTTCTGACCACTAGGGGTCACCATGGAGACAGGTGTCGGATTGTTTCGAAGCCTCGACAAAATACGGCACATTTGCTTCAACTTTTTCAGTGTTTTACGAAGCCTCGATCTGCCCACCACTACCACTATTATATTCACAGGATGAAGCATAAAACAAAGGCTGAATTCTGAACGGCAGAAATAGTACTAGTAAACTATTCTGAAATAAGCTCAATATGTGCATTCTATGTATGTTCCAAAAGGGTGGAAAAACAAGGACAGTTGAACCTTAAGAACCAATGGAAACACCCAGTTGCATAAACTCCACACTCATGCAAGTCTGGAGAATCATGACTGTTAATGAAAAGGGAGGGATTATCGTTAATTAGCCAAAATCTGTAGAGTACAAAAAGACCAAAGGGCAGCATCTCAACAGTGTGACTAGCTGTTGAACAATGGTAGGAAGTTGGTGTGTTGTTCAGTCTCTGGCACTTTGTGTTTGGTTCTGTGCTTTCTGCCATGCCGTTCCAAAGTGGAGTAATCTGCCCCAAAGTCCTCAAGCTCTGATGTTCCAGCAAACTGACCAGCGGTTTCAACAGCAAGCTGGTCAACAGTTTCCTCAGCAGTTTCCTCAGTCAGTTCAACGGCAAGCTAATCAACAGTATCCTAAGCCAGTTCAACAGCAAGCTAGTCAACAGTTTTCTAAGCCAGTTCAACAGCAAGCTAGTCAGCAGTTTCCTCAGTCCGTTCAACAGCAAGCTGGTCAACAGTATCCTCAGACAGTTCAACAGCAAGCTAGTCAACAGTTTCCTCAGCCAGTTCAACAGCAAGCTAGTCAACAGTTTTCTAAGCCAGTTCAACAGCAAGCTAGTCAACAGTTTTCTAAGCCAGTTCAACAGCAAGCTGGTCAACAGTATCCTCAGTCAGCTCAATGGCAAGCTAGTCAACAGTTTTCTAAGCCAGTTCAACAGCAAGCTAGTCAACAGTTTCCTCAGTCAGTTCAACAGCAAGCTAGTCAACAGTTTCCTCAGCAGTTGAAGCCTAAACAGCCAGTGGCACAGGCAGAGCCCCTTGACAAATGTGCTGTAGCTGATTATGAGCAGATCCAATGTGGACCACCTGGTATCAGTGGTGCTGAGTGTGCAGCTATTAACTGCTGCTTTAACGGACAGCAGTGTTACTATGGGAAGGCCGGTAAGAGTGTTGAGTCAATGTAAAGGTGTTTCTTGTTAAACTGATCCTCATCAATAACCAGCTCTTGTACCTTGTTCCAGTGACTGTCCAGTGTATAAGAGATGGTCAGTTTGTGGTAGTGGTGGCTAGAGATGTCACGCTGCCTCGTTTGAGCCTGGATTCAGTCCGTCTCCTGGGTGGAAATGATCCAGCTTGCAGTCCTGTGGGATCCACACCTTTCTTTGCTATATACCAGTTCCCTGTCACTGCGTGCGGCACGAGCATGACAGTGAGTAGCTGCTTGTGGTTTTGTTCTGCATGGCTTAGAATGGACTGGATGCCAACAGTGTTACTCTTTGCAGGAGGACAGTGGATATGTGGTGTATGAAAACAGAATGACCTCCTCGTATGAAGTGGGTATCGGACCACTTGGTTCCATCACAAGGGACAGCCATTTTGAGTGGGTGACGTATGCTTTAGCACGTTTGTTAATCCTTGGCAAATGCTACAAGCTCACTGTTTGTTTTCCAGGCTTCTCTTCCAGTGTAGGTACTCTGGTACTTCTGTGGAAGCTCTGGTTGTGGAGGTCAACACTGTTCCTCCACCTCCACCAGTAGCTGCTCCTGGACCCCTCAGGGTGGAGCTTAGACTAGCAAATGGTCAGTGTGTCACCAAAGGCTGTGCAGAAGGTAAGTGTTTGACCCAAGTGTGTGCCTAAAGCCTTTCTAAAGCTCCAGGTTGCAGTGGTTTCTGGTTAAACACTATTCTTCCTCAGGGGACGAGGCGTACACTTCCTACTACAGTGATGCTGATTATCCTGTTACAAAAGTCCTGCGGGAGCCTGTGTATGTTGAGGTGCACGTTTTGGAGAGGACCGACCCCAACATTGTCCTGATGCTGGGACATTGCTGGGCGACATCAACCCCCAGTCCACTCAGTCTACCCCAATGGGACCTTCTGGTTGATGGGTGAGTAAGGCCAGTCTTTATCCATCTAGTGTGCTGTAAGGTGTTTCTGATTCCCTCTTTGCCTTTCAGATGCCCTTACCAGGATGATCGTTACCTGACCACATTGGTTCCAGTGGCTGGATCGTCTGGTCTTCAGTTCCCAACCCACTACAAGCGCTTTATTGTGAAGATGTTCACATTTGTTGATCCATCATCACTGGCTCCTCTGCAGGAAACCGTATGCTCCGCAGCCTTACCTCAACCCTTAATATTAGTACTTTTTATAGTGAATTCTATGGCTAAACCCTTT